TACTCAGGGGTATATCGTAACAAAGAGCCTAAAACAGATTTAAATTAAACAATATTTGTCTTGCTTGCCACTAGTGATGCACCGAGAATACAGTTTTTGCATTTCTGAAAGCATTAACTCAGTTTGCTTACCGCTGAAGAAAGTGGCTTTGGTATAAACCTGGGAGTGGAGTGATTTGGTTTACCAATTACTGGCATAAGCCTTGACTCTGGCGTAAGCTTCCTCTGAGGTGGAGACACAGCTGATATGCCAAGTTCACCTGAACACAAACCTGTTTGACAGCAAAACTGAGAAGCTGAATTTATAGAAAGAGCACTGCTCTTGAACAGGATTCACTGTAAAAAGGTTCAGCATGTGTTTCCCACCTGATAAAAAGCTGTCCGGATTCAATAGGTCGTCTTTCTCAATGATGTCATCTTTTTCATCTCTGAGCACAAAAGGATAGAAAATAGGTCCAATAGATGCAAAAGGAATCATTGTTAATTTGGTGTAGACAATAATACATGTTCTACTGCCTGAAGCTCTTACTGACCGTGTAGAGTTCAAAATTCATTTTTTACTCGAACAAATCATCAGTTACCAGTTTGAGAACTGACCAGTGAACTCAAGAGTTTCTGATTGAGCCGGATTAAATCATTAGCTAAGTTTAACATCTACAACATGGTGCTCATTTAATAAATTACTGTCTATATCAGGGGTCCCCAATCCCAGTCCATGAGGGCCGGTGTCCCTGCAGGTTTTAGATGTGTCCTTGATCCATCACAGCTGATTTAAATGGATAAATTACCTTCTCAACATGTCTTGAAGTTCTTGGTAATGAACTAATCATGTGATTCAGGTGTGTTGACCCAGGGTGAGATCTAATACCTGCAGGGACACCAGCCCTCGTGGACTGGGATTGGGGACCCCTGCTCTATATTATAATTGATAGCTGCAACCAGTGTCCATCAGCAAGCAGACGTCACCCCTCTTCCATGTCCAGTTTCAAAACACCAAGATGGTGATGGCCTTAACATTCAGTGAAGTCCGTTAAATTGAACATTTTCAAAGACCAATACGCAAGTTGCAGTTCTAGTGTGCAACATACTCACTTCTGTGGTGTAGATGATGGTGGATAAGAGTTGCAAGGCTGCTTCTGCGGTTCCACAATGGTGCACGAGCTGAGTAGCAGTGGACTGGTCAGCTTTTTCGTGATCTGGAAGCATGCCCACAGCTGATTCACAAACCAGTGACCTGCAGAAACAAAATTCACACTGTGACAAATGCTTCAGAAAACTGCAGCTAATGTATTTTCCTCATAAGTGACTTTATGTTTATACCCAGAGACAGAGTGAGCAGCAGCAGGCTGAGGCTGGTGAGATCCAGCGCTGGCTGCTGGTTGACTTCAGCCACTGCATTCAGAGGCACAGTTAGCAGCAGCATGGCTCGAGAGAAACCAGGACAGTGCAGGAATGTCAGCAGGACTGCACACAGTACAAAGTAGCCTGTGTGTGTGATGCACGTCCATATAGCTGTCAGACTTAAACCTGTTCAAGCAAAAAGCACAAGAAAAAGAATTCTTAAGTCATACAGGAACCTTTTTTTAGTCAAAGACAATGTAAAGAATTAATTTCTAAATGTGTCCTGCTGACAGTCAATTATCCAACTTCTCTGTAGCAGGAAAAGACCCTATAAAAAGGGAGTGTGCCCTATGGCTGCCGTGTCTCACCTGCCCATCCGAGGTAGCCCTGGATCATGTGAAGCCTGTCCTCTATGCGGCTCTGCATCTTATCGAGGTAGTGCAGCATGCCTCCCAGGGTGCTGTTCATGCGCTCCAACTTGTTCATCAGGTCAGTGTAGTACTGGGAGGTCTGATCCTGATACTGCAGAAACTCTATCATACTGTGGTCTACTCAGCCACATACAAAAAGATATGTAAGCACATTGCTTGGGGGGGATAGTTTTATAAACTACAAATGATTTCAGCCATTTACCAATTTTCTGATAGATGTCCTGAGCTTGGTGTCTTACATCTGCCAGGTCCTTGACAATCGCCTTGTGGCTGTCCTGCACCTCAGAGCCCTGGATTTGAAGATGCTCGCTCACATTCTCTAAAACAAAAACAAAAAAGGTGGACAGAAAGACATGCGGAAAGAATAAAATCCATGCTACATGATGTGGCATCAGGTGTGTTTACAGAGTTTTCTTAAAGAGAATTGCAGTTCAATATTTTATCTTATTTAAAAGAGGAAAGTTAAAACTTCCAGAACTCATTCAGCACATCGAACTGTATCAGGTCATTTTCGAGTACTTTGTAATTTGACAAACAGTTTACTACTGACCATGGATAAAAGAAACTGTTTGTCAGAATCAGAATCAGAATACTTTATTAATCCCTGGGGGAAATTATTTTTTGTTATAGTGCTCCATTTTAAACCATTTACAAACTGCTGCAATTTGACTGTTAGCACATGAAAAGAGCCTTTATGTCGGATTATTTGCAGTCGCGCCCAAAGTCAATTTTAACAGAATAGAATAAAAATACAGAAAAATGTAAAATTCTCACCCATTCTTTGTGTAATTCCCTGAATGAGCTGAGCTACCAACTCCTGTCCAGAGGCGATGAGAGCTTTTTCCTGACCCAGACGCTCCAGGTTGTCCCTCAGTGAACTCGTCATCTGCTCCTGGCCCTCGTGCAGCTTCCCCTGTTGAGCCTGCAGAGCACTGTGGCCTTCAAGCAGCTTGTCCAGTGATGCTGCAGTCAGTTCTTTCAACTCTACCTGGCCCTCCTGTTTGAAAATGATCAATGAATCCCAAGAAACCACTGATTTGCAAAATAAAAATAATTATTTATTTATTTTTTAAACCCAGCCTTACCTTCAGGTCCTTCATTGCATCTAGCTGGCTGGTGGCTGTGGAGATGAGTGCATTGACTGTGTGCTCTGCTCTGCGCCGGAAAAGCTGCTGTCGAGTTGCATAACAAACGGAGCGCGCTCGGTTGCTGACTATATGGTACGCATTCCACGTATCGGAATCCATGGATGCTGTACACTCTTTGATGGTCTAACACATAAAATTGAGATTAGCACACAACATTATATTTTTTTCATTATATTTTTAAAGCCTTTTCTGACAAAGTACTACAAGATCGTATTTTTACCATCTCCTCTGTGCATAGGTACGTCTGGCGCCCCTCAATCTCTGCCTGGCAGTTAAACAGTTCCACTCCGAGCTTTGCGAGCTTTTCTTCTGAGAGGCTGTCACAGCTCGACTTTAGCCGAGCGATCACCTACAGGAGGAGACAAACCAGAGAAACATGATTCCTCTGTTTAAACAATGTATTGAAAACTGTGCCATGAGAATTTTATATGAAAGACACTTAATAACACTGTTGCCCAGCCTTCTCCAAACTCAAACCTAATATTGTTCAAAAACATTTTATTTGTCCGTTGGATTAAATACACCTTTTCAAGGCCCACATACCCTGTAATGACAGCTGTCCAATGGGCTGAGCTCGATCTGCTTTGCCTCAGCTAAAAACTTCTCATCTGCAGTTGCCATCTCAAACTGAGCGTCTTTGGCAAGATGTGCTGGAGCCACTGCAGCTGGTTGAAGAGGCGCTGCTGCTCGAGGTGCCTCTGTCAGCCTCAGCCACTCAAACAGCCCGTTGACCGCGAGACACTGACAGGCCAGCATGCTGACAGTCAGCAGGAGGTGCAGGTAGTGGATGAGGTGACCCATGTCTGGATCAGAACATGACAAGGTGCGCATGCAAATCATCAAACATGGGAAATACATTTCTCATAATCCCTGCAACCACACTATACTGCCAAAAGTAACTGCTCGTCTGCCTTCACATACATAAGATCTTCTCATCCTACTCTTAATCCAAAGAGTTTAATATGATGTCGGCCCACCCTTTGCAGCTTCAACTCTTCTGAGTTTAGGTCTGTTTATGGGTCGTTTTTTTGTTTTTTTAAATCACTTTTGGGAGGCAGTTACTCAGAGGTGAGCAGTGCTGTAGAGGGTCCTTATCCCATCAGTGTCTGTTCCTTCGTGCAAGGAGTAACAGGATAAACACTGCCACACTCTTATAAAAGGACCTCCAGCAGGACCCTGGTGTGAAGGTCTCTCACTAAACAATCACAGACTTCATGAGGGTGACCCGAGGACCCAACGTCCTCTAGTGGGCACTGTGCTCACTGCCCACACCATGGAGCCTGACTGGCATTTGCCAGAGAATACCAGAATTAGCAGGCCCACCACTGATGTTCTCTGCTGCACAACATTGCCTGGCCTCATGTAGCGAGAGTATGAAGGTAGTTCCTGGAGGAGGACAGAGTTGATATTACTGACTGGCCCCCATGCTTTCCTTACCTTAATCCAGTAGAACACCTGTAGAACATTATGTTTCAACTAATTGAACACCAGCAGGTTGCATCTTAGACTGTCCGGATCTGAGAGGAGATTCCCTCAGGATACCATCACCATGCCCAGACCTTGTCAGGTATGCTTACAAGCACATTGGGCGGGGGGCAGGCAGAGGTCCATACAAACTACTAAGTACCATTATGACTAGCTGCAATTAAAATTTCCGCAAAGTGGACTAGCCTGCTGCATCTTTTTTTTTTTAACTTTGATTTTCAATATGTCTTTGAATTCAGCCCTCTGTAAAGTGATCATTTTCATATCAGTGTAGATATGCAGCATGATTTTTTTTTAACCCTCAGATCTGATGTGTTGCTTTAATTTTCTTTTTTGTTGTTGAGCAGTGTACAAAAAGCAACAGAGCAAATCAGCCAACGCATCGAAACTATTGACCAGTGGAGAGAAGAACTAAAAATGTTTAACCAACTTAAATCCTGTGGATGTTAGGTGGTCGTATCGTAACACCCCTTGATAACGTGCCTAAACCACAGGGCAAAACCTGCTCAGGGACAGCTTTAGCAAAGAGCCCAAGGCAATGACCCGAGCACCAAACTGCCCAGAGCTCATTCCACTCAGGCATTTATGGAAATGTCCGGACTGGTCAGAGCTGTTCTGGTGGTGAGACCGTCAGCTACAAAACATTAGCCAGGTGGTTTCAACATTGTTGATGATCTGTGCATATTTAAACGAATATTGTGACGATGTTTAGCATATAGATATTTAGCATTCTGTATATGACTATAAAGTGTTTCTGCTGCATTGGATGCATTAGACAATGTGGAAATAACAACTACCATTTATTTCTCTGATTGAATGAAGATCCTACCGAGGCTTGCCCGGGCATGCCCACTGCTGCAGTTACTTGCAGTAACATCATTTAATTAACAAATAATCACTTTTGCATGACTTAAACGGGACGGAAACGAAGCTAATTAGCTTACTGTAAAAATGTTAAGTTGTTTTCCCCAATTTTAAAATACTGCAGTCATTAAAAAATAACAACAAATTAGCTATCATGTTTTGCGATATGTATGAACAGTTAAAATAAAAACGCCCTATTAAATGCATACAATGGAATAATTTGTAAACAAATACCTGTTGTTCAAGGAGGTCCTTGACAAGGTAAAACACTCGCCCCCGTCCCCCTCACACAGCTGATTCAAATGACAGTCACTAACTTTCTTCAGCCCGTTTAAAGCTTCTCGTTACGACGAGGCCACAACCAGACGTTCTTTAAAAAGGTGCGTTTCATTTATTTCACGGTTGAAACGTCCTGGACACGGCGGAAAAAAGCCCCGGAATGTTTCGCAGAGGATGCTGAGCGGCGCCGCCCACCTGGAACAGCAGCGACAGTGAAGTGAAAACCAAACGATCCAACAGTGGAGCTAGAGTCAGCTGGTTGGCTCTGTGGATGCTCTGGGTGCATCCACGGTTTAAATTTAACTTCTGTTTGCGGTTGCCAAAACGCCGGATATCAGCAAATCTGAAACACAAATCAGGTGAATAAATGTCCTACCGCCAGCGTTACCCGGTTTTGTTCACGCTATCGTGTTTGTGTCACTCCGTGTTACTTTATAGTTGTCCAGTCAAAAAGAAACACGTGCATTGTGTTTCTAATCTAATCTCTCCTGGATTATTTTCAAGATATTCCTATTCAGATGCATGAGCGGGGCTTTTTTTTCATGTTTAGAGGGTTTAAAACGCAGAATTGTAATACTTTTATTGATTCGGTTTTGAAGATTCCGTGCTAAATACTGCTTAAAGATTTTAAACTAGCAACATCACAACAGCTCATGCTACAGCAGGCATGCTAGCACCTATTAGCAACCTAGCCGTGTGAACGCTAGTTCGTGTGGGTTTTCATGAGACTGCATTGCTAAAACAATGGACGATTCTGGCATCAAGAAGCAGAACTGGGACGTGAAGGAAACGGAGTTGTTTCTGGAAATTCTCAAGGAGCTGGACATGAAGAAGTGCTTAGACGGAAGGAAAGTGAGGAATAACAAACTGTTCAAAGTGGCACACAGGAGAATGACAGCGGCTGGTTATCACAGATCCGTGGACCAATTAAAGTTTCGCTGGAAACTTCTCAAAAGCGCATACTACAAGTGCAAGCGAGAGCCCGACTCCCCGGCCCCAACTAAAATACAGGGCTGGTGGCGCTATGAAAAGACGATGGTCGCTATTATGGAGTCCAGACACCCTCTGGTGGGACCCGGGGTTAACTCTGACAGAAACGACGAGGTGACAGAAGAGTCAGATGGCGAAGCATCAGTACTACACTGGCCGCAGCCCTGCCCGGACAATACCACCCAGAACCTGGATTTAATTGTAGGGGTGATAACCGTGGAGGCGGTGTCGTATGTAATTTACGATGACGTAGGAGGGCCATTGTAGGTATTAAAATAACTGAAATATGGCGCCTGGGAAGACGGGGATTAATTCCTTGGAAATTCAAAATTTCGGAAAGTAAATGTGTCGAATATTCTAATTTAAAGATATAAACTTATGCAACTTTCAAAAGGGAAGACGTTCAAATATTCTGGCAGTATAAAGCCCTAAATTTAGAAGGAGAGAACCGGGATACAGTAATGTGCAAAAGTCTCGAGTCACTTCTCATTCAGTTATTTTGCTAGGAAAATGTGAAATGGGTGTGATGAATTATTGAGAAATCAAAGCATGCATGAAAATACAGAATATAAGGCAAAAAACTGTTTGTACAACTCTAACAAGCTTGAAAGTCAATGTTTGCTTTGACTGCCTTTTGACTTCTTTGTCTTCAAGAATAGATCTCCAGGCGTCTTGAAGGAAATGTTTGCTGCTTTTTGCCTCAGTTAAGATGATCCCACACTGCTTCAGTAATGTTGACGTTCTGGGGAGATCAGTCCATGGCTGATCACGCCCCATTGTCTTTTTTATTTTATTTTTTATTTTTATGTTCCATTGTCCAGTTATGCTTTTACTGCATTGGCCATGTGTCTGGGCTTTTGACCTGTTGAAAAATGATGCCGTTGCCAGTCAGGTTTTTTGATAGTATTGCATGGTGGATCAAAATCTGATGGTATTATGGCAGTTTTGGCAAGATCAAAAACGCCACTGGCTGAAATGCAGCCCTAAACCATGACAGAACCTCCACATGTTTTACCGATAGCTGTAGACACTAACTCTTGTACCTCTTTCCTGACCTCCTCTGGACATCATTTGAACCAAAAATTTCACATTTAGATTCATCAGTTCATAAGACCCGAGCCTCTGATTTTCAACCTAGTTCTTGTTTAATTTGCATACCTCAGCCTCCTGATTTCCCTTCCTTAACAATGGCAAACCGTCTTCCACAGAGACAATTTCTGATGAAACCGAAGAGCCCAAAGCATCACACATGCAGGGTGGAAGCAAAAGATAAAGTATTGATGGGTGACTCAAGATGTTTGCACATTACTGTAGATTCAAATATTAAAGTGTCAAATTTAAAATGGGAAGAAAAAGATTTACAAAAAACAAAAAATCAAAAACAGATGCACTCCAATATTGAACTTGTATGTTTGTTATGAAAAATTCAGACTACAACTAAATTTGCAAGAAAACACACCCTTTCTCTGGCTCCATAATTAAACTTAAAATGGCCCAAATATGCCATAATAGTCAGTAGATCATGCTACATGATGTCATAGTCTGCTTGTTTTTTTTAATACATCTGGATTACAGTATACACTGATATTAGGTGTAGCTCACTTTTTTAACTTTAAATACAGTATACCTGTCTGGCAATCAGTTCTATATTCATTAAGACTGTAATGTCAGTGACTCTCTCAGTTGCTGAAATAAGGTGTTTCTAATATTCTGTCAGGTAAGTAACGGTCTCGAATCATTTTCCAAACAAAACATAGGAAAAGCTTTCAGTATCAACATAGTCAAATTTATATTTTTACATATACAAAAATACACTGCTTCCTATTAAAGTGTTTCCATTACAAGGGTAATTCAGATTCCTGAATTAGTAGGTATGATGTTGTGTAGAAACATGTACAACACTATAATATCGATCAACAAAAACGCAACAATTTTAATTCTATATTAATCCAGGTGTACCCCAACAAACACTTAAATCATTGTCTCTGCAACATGTGTCCAAACACCACTGTTATTTTTTCCACTGCATCTTTAGTGGGGTTTATTCATATTTTCATGTGCGCTTCTATTGACTGTCTTTGTTTAATTGGGAGACTGGCAGTTGAGTGTGAGTCACGTGTTTCTAGGTTCAGTCAAACCAACAATATTCAGTTGCTCATTGACCACATACAGTGATACAGGCTGCAGTCCAAACACGAGAGAAATCGGATGTGCACACTGACTGGTTTCTGTACTTAAGCCTTTTTTTTTGTCCTGCAAACCCAGAA